TTGATTTCCCTTTCTCTGCCGCCGGGTGCTCCGTGCCCAGCCCCGGGCCTTGCTGACCTGTTCTCCCGGGACCACACGGCTGTAAAGAGCCGCTTAGAGCAGAAGTGCTGACTGGCCCCTGGGTGCTGGCTGCCTCTCTGCAAGCCATCCGCAGGACGCGCTGGCCCACAGCCTCTCCGAGCGCCGGGGAGAGCTGCTGATGGCCTCTCCCCGCGCAGGGAATGCCCCCCCGGGTGTGGACCCGGAGGCTTTCTCTTGGTTCCAGGCTGTCGACGCCGATCGCAGCGGGTACATCTCCGTGAAGGAGCTGAAGCAGGCGCTGGTCAATTCCAACTGGTCGACGTTCAACGATGAGACCTGCCTGCTGATGATAAGTGAGTCTGGGCTTCCCTCGCCGTCCTGCTCGTTTAATTCTGGTCCGTTTGAGAGGAGCCTCGATCGGGGGGAAGCGCAGCCCAGCCCGCGTTCCCCTGTTACCTGGGCATTGCTTACCTGAGCGGGTGGCCTGTAAATGCTCTCTGGAGTGAGAGCTGGGCAAACCGAGCGGTTCCGAGCGCCCATTTGGTGGAGGGCACGAGTCAGGGGCCCAAAACACTGCTTGGAAAAGGGAACCCAGCTCTGCACGAGGCCGAGTGAGCCCCCGCTCCCAGAGAGCCGGGGAGAAAAGGGAGGGAGAGCTCCAGTAGCCAGCCAGAGTCCAGAGTTGTCTGGTTCCCCGGCTTGCCCCAGCGTTGGGTTTTGGTGCTGTTTCCTACCGACCTCTTGGGGATCGAATGGTCCTGATTGAGCGCAGTCCTGGTGAGGGAGGGCTTGCTTTTGGGGCCGGAGTGGGGTGCCAGGGAGCTGCAGCACAGATCCCGAGCTCTCTGAGAATTTCTGCAGCGTGTCTTTGCTCCACTCCTCACTGCCCTGCTCCTGATCTTCGCTCCTTCCTCCCCAGACATGTTCGATAAGACCAGGTCGGGACGCATAGACGTGTACGGCTTCTCGGCCTTGCTGCGCTTCATCCAGCAGTGGAAGAACCTTTTCCAGCAGTACGACAGGGACCAGTCGGGTTCCATCAGCTTCAGCGAGCTCCAGCAAGGTGGGCGAGGGGCAGAGACACCAACTTGGCCCTTACCGAGCTCCCTGGGGACCTCTGTCTGCTCTGCCTGGTGTTTATTTCCAGCCTGGCCCGGTGATGACTCCTGGCACTGTCCCTGCAGCAGGGCTGGGTGTCTCTGAGCTTCTGGGTGCCTCCCATGAAGCCGTGGCTGCGGTCCACGCCTGTTGCAGCACTGGGGCACGCTGGGCTGGCTAAACCGGCCGTGGCAGAGCTGGCACTGGGCCTTCCTGTGGGGCAGGAGTTGAGGAGCCGCAGCAGGGCTGTGGCACGAACTTCCTTCCTTAAGGAAAACCCCAAATGCCCCCCAAATGGCAGGTGGCTAAAGCCTGTTTTCTGGGAGGAACTCTTGGGCGTGTGTGTGTCTGATGGAGGGGAAAAATCTCTGGAATTCGTGCCCTGGTTCGGCTCCTCCCTCTGGAGAGCCCTCAAGCACACCCACCGTTGGAAGGGAATGGGGTGTGTGCCAGCCCAGGGGAGGGAGGGCACGGTCACTCTCCCTCCTGTTTGGGAAGGTGTAATCCGAGTGTTTCTTGCTCCCAGCTTTCTCCCAGATGGGCTATAACCTGAGCCCCCAGTTTAGCCAGCTGCTGCTGGCCCGCTACGCCCAGCGATCCTCCAACCCCAGCATCCAGCTCGACCGCTTCATTCAGATCTGCATGCAGCTCCAGAGCACGACCGACGCCTTCCGCGAGAAGGACACGGGGCTGGTGGGCAACGTGCGGCTGAGCTACGAGGACTTCCTCACCATGGTCGTGACTCGCATGATGTGACGCCCTCGGCAGCTCCGCGGGAGCAGCAGCCGTCCTCGGCCCTGTGCTGGGACGTGGCCGAGCCTCCCAAAGAGCGAGCTGTTCCCCTGGGCTGGCTTTCCAGCCGCCTCCACCTGAGGAGCCCTGAGCCTTGCTGGGGCCCTCCCAGCTTCGATTCCTTGTGCCCACTCGATGGCAGCGGGGGCCTCCACGCCAAACTGGAGCCCGTGGGGGTGGGACAGCCAAACCAGTAGCGAGCCTGTGCCACGCCTCCCGGGGAGTGCTTAGATCTTCCCTCGCCAGACACAAAATCATACTGAAGCCCCATCTACGCTGTCCCCCTGCTTGGCGGGATGTCTGCAGGGGAACATCTCTGTCTCAGCCTGCTTTTGGGGACTCTGGTGGCCAAGAGCTGAGCCTTCGTTTGAAAAGCAGCAAGAGGGGCGTCAGTGATGGCAAAGCTCATCCCTCCCTGCCTCACAGATGGCCCTTCCTCACCGGGAGTGCATCCAACCCCTCGGCTGTGCTGGAAACGCTCCAGCTTTCCTGAGGGTCTGAGCCCTGTTTCTCTCTGGGCTGCTGGAAGGGGCCACCTTGCTGCAGTCACACACAGGATCATCAACCCCCCCTTGTTGCCAATGTCTGTTTTGGTCCGTCTGTGTCTGCCAAAGCCAAACTCAGAAATGGTTTAGAGCTTATTTTTATGGCTTTTGAATAAAAGGCGATGTGCACTGCTGGTGGGGGGGTGTGTGTTTGCGGAGCGGCTCACGGGGATGCTGCCCTGCCTGGTGTCCTGGGGCCAGCAGCAGCTCTGGGTGCGTGGGGGGGGACGTGTCCCTCTGTGCCTGTACCCTGCTCTGGGCGCTGCTCCCGGGGCTCAGTACACGTTCCTGAAGTTCTTACGTGTTTCACGTTGACTTACAGAAAATAAGGTGTTGGGGTCTCCTGCTGAGGTACAACCAGGAAGGTAAAGATTTGACCAAAGGTTTTCCCTGTGGTTTTAACATGATCTCTGGGCAATTATCCTTTAATTGGCCTCGATGAGAAGTGTGCTTTTATGAGAGACACATTGCTACTACATATTCAAAGGAATTGTTATGGAAGAAAAGAGTTAAAAGTCCGAGTACCTTATCTGGTGCTGCGAGAAGCAATAACCAGATGTCGATGTTTTCCTCGGCTTCAGCTAGAAGCAGGACTCTTTGTCCTGGAGCACCACTAATCATTCCAACCATATTTCTCGTCGTCTTCCGTTGAGTCAGAGCTGCCCAGCCTTGCGGAGAGGTTTAGAGCGAGGCACTGGGGGCTGTCCTCCCACTGATGCTGTCACCTGCGCTGTCACCCGGGCTGTGGCTGTCACTGCCTGTCACCCCTCTGGGCCGGGGCTGAGTCAGGGTGGGGGGGGAATGACCCCGGCTGGGGGTGGGTTTGTGTGTGTGTGTGTATATGTAACAGCCAGGGAAGTGTCAGCGTACGCACAGGGGAGCAGCTCTGCGTGCGTAGACACACCCCCACACCGTGAGAAGCCCCCGTGCGAATATAAAGCTGCCAGCACACACGAACAGACACCCCCCCGTGTGTGTGTATGTGCACGAACACTACACTGTGCACACGCACAGACACTATCACCCCTCTGTGTGTGCGTATATCTATATATATAGATACACACGCACACACAGGTGTGGGGTGTATGTACGTGTGTGTGTATCTATGTATATATGTACACACACGTGTAACTTTATACAGGATACATGTGTGTGTACACGTGCACACACAGAGTAACAGACACCCCTGTGCATATAAACACACACCACGCACACACGCTGACAGGCACCCTGTGCCCCCACACACACACACGCTAGCAGACACTGACGCTTGTATAAACACACACCACACTGCATGTGGGCGCGCACGCGCGCACACACACACACACACACACACTCTCTTACTGACACGCCGTGTGTACACACACAGAGTAACAGACACCCCGTGTATGTACACACATAGACACACTATCCTGTGTAGACACGTGCGCACGCACGCACTAACAGACACCCCGAATGTATGCACATGGTTACAGCTACTGTGTGTGTCTACATAACTAAACATCAGTGTCCGTGCGCATGTGTGCGCGCGCATATGTGTGTGTATAAAACACACACACACACACACACACACACACAGACACCACTTGGGGGTGTTTTTTTGGTAGTTTTTTTTTTTCTTGATATTAATATAGATATCCACAGACACAAACTGCAGGTTTTTTTCTAACGTATACATGCGTGTGCACACACACACACAGACACACACACTGCTGCTTATAATACATACACACACTGAAGGACAAGGCTAACTCTGTGTGTGTGTATATATGAAAAAGTACATATACACCCCCCACCCCCC